TTGACTCACCTTTAGCGCCAGTAGCAGGGCCACCGCCTGTGGGCGATGCACAGCTCTGCTAGGACCTGGTTTTAAGGTGAGAACAGCATTAGAAACGAAGTGGGAGACAGGAGGTAAGAGGGAAGGAGAGAGTCCTTAACTCAACCTCAAGGCTTAGAAATAAAGTGTTAATCCAGAACCTGTCTTAGAAAAGGGTGGAGGCGGAGAGAGATCCAAGATGGCTGATCACTAGCAGCTCGGGATTGCAGCTCCCACTGAAAGAGCAGAGAACGAGAGGACGCCACACTTTCAGATCAATTTTTGTTGCTCACACACTAGGAGATTCCCAGCGGAGGAGCCCCACCTGTCGCCAGCGTGACTCTTGAGGCCGGTGAGGCGGTTTTGCCGCTGCCTTGGTGTGGCGGTTCTTGGTGCAGAGTCAGAAAAGCACCATCAATCTTAAAGCCGCTGTTTTGGCCGGAGCAGTGGGTTGCTCAGATTCTAGCACCGGGAATCAACAAGTTGGACGTCCATTCAGAAACCCAACTATAAAGACGGTAATTATAAAGACCACAGATGGATAAATCTATAACGAAGGGAAGAAAACAGCCTAAAAAGGCTGAGAATACCCAAACTCAGAACGCCTCTCCCTCTACAGGGGATCACAGTTCCTCATCAGAAACAGAACAAGGCCTGATGGAGAAAGACTGTGTTCCATTAGCAGAAGCTGGCTTTAAAAAGTGGATGATAAGAAACTTCTGGGAATTAAAAGAACTTGTTCTAACCCAATGCAAAGAAACTAAGAACTTTGAAAAAAGGTTTGACGAAATGTTAACAAGAATACACAATTTAGAGAGGAATATAAGTGAATTAATGGAGCTGAAAAATACAACACGAGAGTTTTGCGAACTATGCACAAGTTTTAACAGCCAAATTGATCAAGTAGAAGAAAAGATATCAGAGGTCGAAGACCAACTTCATGAAATAAAACAAAAAGACAAGATTAGAGAAAAAAAGGATAAAAAAGAACGAGCAATGTCTCCAAGAAATATGGGACTATGTGAAAAAACCTAATCTACGTTTGATAGGTGTACCTGAATGTGACGAAGAGAATCAATCCAAGCTGGAAAATACGCTTCAGGATATTATTCAGGAAAACTTTCCCAACCTAGCAAGGCAGGACAATATTCAACTCCAGGAAATACAGAGAACACCACAAAAATATTCCTCAAGAAGGCCAACCTCAAGGCACATAATTGCCAGATTCACCAGGGTTGAAATGAAAGAGAAAATACTGAGGGCAGCCAGAGAGAAAGGTCAGGTTACCCATAAACGGAAGCCCATCAGACTCACAGCAGATCTCTCAGTAGAAACCCTACAAGCCAGAAGAGAGTGGGGGCCAATATTCAACATCCTTAAAGAAAAAAACTTTCAACCCAGAATTTTACATCCAGCCAAACTAAGCTTCATAAGTGAAGGAAAAATAAAATCTTTTGTGAACAAGCAAGCACTCAGAGATTTCATCACCACCAGGCCTGCTTTACAAGAGCTTTTGAAAGAACCACTACAAATAGAAAGGAACAACTAGTATCAGCCTTTCTAAAAAATACCAAAAAATAAAGAACATCAACATATTTAAGAAATTGCATCAACTAACGGGCAAAACAGCCAGCTAACATTAAATGACAGTATCAAACACACATATATTGTTATTAATTTTAAATTTAAATCGACTAAATCCCCCAATCCAAAGACACAGACAGGCAAAAAAAGCCAAGACCCATTGGTATGCTACATCCAGATCCATCTCACATGCAAGGATACATAAAGACTCAAAACAAAGGGATGGTGAAAAATTTACCAACCAAATGGAGAGCTAAAATAAATATATAGAAAGCAGGAGTTGCAATTTTTGCTGATAAAATAGATTTCAAAGCAATAAAGATCAAAAGAAGCAAAGAAGGATATTACATAAAGATAAAAGATTCAATGTAACAAGAAGAGCTAAAGATCCTAAACATATATGCACCCAATACAGAAATACCCAGATATATAAGACTTACAAAGAGACTTGGACCCCCACACAATAATAGCGGGAGACTTCAACATCAATATTAGATAGATCAATGAGACAGAATGTTAACATCGATATCCAGGACTTGAACTCAGATCTGGAACAAGTAGATTTAATTAACATTCATAGAACTCTCCACTTTAAATACACAAAATATACACTCTTATCAGTACTACATCACACGTATTTACAGGTTTAAATGAAATATTGGTTGGCTGCTTGTTAATTATTTTCTTCCCTCATTTTTTTTTATGTCTCTATTATTAAAC